GTAATGATCCATTAAACGGTAAAAACAAGAAAAGGGGGCTTTTGAAAAGCGAATCTCATTCATTCCGTACTTCCGTTCAATGACTAATGTTTAGAAGGGAATGCTAATCATACGAAGAACAATTATGAGGCATATTTTTAATTTAGCGCGACTTGCTCTCAAAACGAACTTCTCAGTCTTATAGAGTGAACAATATTAAAGTTTTGACTTAAGAGACAAATGTACGACCCGCGCGACTGCGAAGTAAGTTAAGGCATGAGGACTTTAAAAGTTTGAATCCTGTCTTCCTCGAATAAAAATAATTCATGGAAATGCCGACCCACAAGGCAACCATCAAAGGACAATTTGTCAGGGAAAACTACCGGAAAAGTGCTCTTTTCAAAGTTTAAAAGCCTTATTAATAACTTTAATTAAGAAAATCCCAACAAACTTAGAGCCGAGGGCAGTAAAACTTAAGCAATTTATTTCATGCCCAGAGATGGTTGCTTACTCTAGAATAACACGTCAACTTCAAGTGCAAAACTTACTCGTGCGCAACAGATGTATGAGGGACTTTTTAGTTTGAATGCCTGTTGACTCTATCATGTTCCGCTGGGCCTGTAAAAAAGAGCCGATGTTTAGAGACAGGTGTGAGTACTCTAGCGCCAACTAATCGCCCACGCTAGATGCAGAATGAACCAGAAATTCAATAGTGTATGAAGAATTTCGAGTTCATCATTGTTCTACAGCGGCTAGCTTTGTTGGTAAAATAAAGAAACTCAAATACTGTATGAACATTTTACGCCACAACCATGCATGCAGCAAGTGCGTTAGTTTGTCGGTAGCTCTAACAATTATTTTTTAAGAATCAAATTTAGGGCTCTTTCATGCAAATCGACCAATCCTCCCAAATTGCGGTGTAAATAAATCGAAATATGCCCTCACAAGAAAATCTTTACAAATAGAATTAAACGCAAAGTCTAAAAAACTCCTCAGTGTAGCCTTCATCAGCTGAAATATACTTTAGTCAGTCTTTGCTGGGATAGATCGCGTGTGTTAATGAACAGCATGAGTCTGAAGACTTGTATGATTAAGATGTGGTCGCCCCCAGATTCCATTATTTATAGAGTGGATCTTAGTGTGCTTGCCTTTGTTCTAACTTGCAGATGGAAATGCTGGTTTTGAGGAAAGGGAAACCCGCGAGTACCCCTACAAAAACCGGCCTCGTAACAAGAGCAAAATCTAACGACTTTGCCTTTGGGATTAGGACCAGGCCACTCTTCGTCACCCTTGCCGGCTTTTACTGCCCATTCTGGGCGGATAACATCATTCCAAAAAAAACATACTTTTAACCCTAAAGCCAAACCCAAATGCGTGAACAGAGTGAACAGATGTAAATAATATGGACGCTACAACGGTTCTGCCCCATATGGAAACATCAAATTGAAGAGAATCTAAAAAAACGTCACAAAAAAAACCTACGTCAGCACAAAGTCCCTCCCCTATCTACCGGTCTGGATCAGTCCTTCCCTTATCTCCAGGTCTGTATGAGTCCCTCCCTTATCTCAAGGTCTGGATGAGTCCCTCCCTTATCTCAAAGTCTGGATGAGTACTTCCCTTATCTCAAGGACTGGATGATTCCTTCCTTTATCTCAAGGTCTGGATGAGTCCTTCCCTTATCTCAAGGTCTGTATGAGTCCCTCCCTTATCTCAAGGTCTGGATGAGTCCCTCCCTTATCTCAAGGTCTGAATGATTCCTTCCCTTACCTCAAGGTCTGGATGAGTCCCTCCCTTATCTCAAGGTCTGGATGAGTCCCTCCCTTATCTCAAGGTCTGAATGATTCCTTCCCTTACCTCAAGGTCTGGATGAGTCCCTCCCTTATCTCAAGGACTGGATGATTCCTTCCTTTATCTCAAGGTCTGGATGAGTCCCTCCCTTATCTCAAGGTCTGGATGAGTCCCTCCCTTATCTCAAGGTCTGGATGAGTCCCTCCCTTATCTCAAGGTCTGAATGATTCCTTCCCTTACCTCAAGGTCTGGATGAGTCCCTCCCTTATCTCAAGGTCTGGATGAGTCCCTCCCTTATCTCAAGGTCTGAATGATTCCTTCCCTTACCTCAAGGTCTGGATGAGTCCCTCCCTTATCTCAAGGTCTGGATGAGTCCTTCCCTTATCTCAAGGTCTGGATGGTTTCTTCCCCTATCTCAAGGTCTGGATGAGTCCTTCCCTTATCTCAAGGTCTGGATGGTTCCTTCCCTTATCTCAAGGTCTGAAAGAGTCCTTCCCTTATCTCAAGGTCTGGATGATTCCTTCCCTTATCTCAAAGTCTGGATCAGTCTCTCTCTTATTTTAAGGTCTGGATGAGTCCCTTCCTTATCTCTCAGTCTGGATTAATCCCTCCTTTATGTCAAGGTCTGAATGAGTCCCTCCCTTGTCTCAAAGTCTGCATCAGTCCCTCCCTTATCTCTTGGTCTGGATCAGTCTCTCCACTATCTCTAGGTCTGGATGAGTCCCTCCCTTATCTCAAGGTTTGGATGAGTCCCTCCCTTATCTCAAGGTCTGGACGAGTTTCTCCCTTATCTTAAGGTCTGGATAAGTCCCTCCCTTATCTCAAGGTCTGGATCAGTCTCTCCACTATCTCTAGGTCTGGATGAGTCCCTCCCTTATCTTAAGGTTGGATGAGTTCCTCCATTATCTCAAGGTTTGGATGAGTCCCTCCCTTATCTCAAGGTCTGGACGAGTCCCTCTCTTATTTCAAGGTCTGTATGAGTTCCTCCCTTATATCAAAGTCTGGATGATTCCTTCCCTTATCTCAAGGTCTGGATAAGTCCCTCCCTTATCTCAAAGTCTGGATGAGTCCCTCCCCTATCTCAAAGAGAGAGAAGAGTGTCTGGCAAACTATTTCCAGTCAAAGATTTGTGGACTTGTGTCTGGCAAACTCTCCAATTGTTTATATATACACAGTTATGTGAACCAGTCAACCTTATAACTTCATCTGTGCTTAACGAGTAGTCTCTTTTGGTCCATAACTTTGATAACAACTGCTCCACAGAATGCCACTGATAACACGTAACCCAAAAGAGTATCGAAGTATGACTGTACAATAAATGCACAGGTAGCAGAAAAAGAATAATAGAAGATCGACCACTATCAGGACTTAAAAAAAGAGCAGAAGAACTTGAATCCCTATTGTAATTAGAGCTCTTGGGACTGTGAGTAAGCACCTAAGGATGTAGATCAGCAAGATGGGAACACCTGGTATCATTGCATTGCTCCAGAAAGCTTGTTTGGTGGGAACAGCTAAGAACTTAAGAAGGACCCTGGACACCTAAGGCTATAGGACATAGCTTGCCTGGTCCCTGTTTTACATTTTCCCAGCCCTTCTCGGTCAAATCCTCACTTTGGTGACGTATCTGAGGTAAACGGGTGGACCATGCGACTGGAAATGCATTGACCACATGGAATAATGAGGCCTAGGGACTAGGCAAGGATGTTGTTGGTTTTCACATGACGTCACCAAAATTCATTTAAGGAACCATCAATTCTTCTGAGTTTCTACTTTCATGAGATATTACCACAGCTACACACCTTGTGTTCTTCATTTTGTGAAATAGGACACTTGAGTTTCCAAGCTTTTGCATAATGCAAAATTTAGCTGGTGGCCTAGAAAGCTACCGAGTGTGTTAAAAAAGTTAACAGTTTTTGGAGATTTTGTCATCTAAACATTCCTTGTCTCAAAATAAATAATATTACTTTAATCTTTGTGAATTCCTGAAGTGATGTATTCACGCTTTTGTATGAAAATTCAAAGACAGATGTCTATTGGTTTCTGGCCACCATATTTGTGCCCCTCAATGGGACACTAACATGGCATCTCCATACAAAGCTTCGTAAATTTGGGTTAAACGTTTTCCCAAATATCTTGCATATGAAATATCACACAAACCTGATTTTTGGCGAGGCTCTTTGTATATAATATTTATCGTCTTTTATTTCCCAGACTCTGGACTTTCTATATTGATCGGTTTCCGTTTTTATTTTTGAAGGCGCGATAGTGAAATAGAGAATAGCTTGATGCTTTTGGGAAACAAGGCCACAGGTGTTAGACATGAACATACCTAATAATGATAACAATGATAATGAAAATAATGATGAATAATACTAAAACCTATTACCTTGTGGGTTGCTGCCCATCCTTCATTTTGAAAGCAGACTTTCAAGCTATACTTTATGGTCCTCACCAGTAACAAATGACCACTTTCTTGAAAATTACCATATACACTGTAGGGCTGTCATTAGTAGACAGCAGCTGGCGTTTTTAGCCAGTTACTGCAGTAAAATCAGCCAGCTACTGTCAGTTTGAAAATAATTTAATGACTGGCTACCTTCCCTGACAACCCTGACATGACTACACATTAAGTGTGGTAAATAATTTAATGTATGGATTGCAGTGGTCTGTAACTGAAGCGGTGCATGGAAAAAGGCCCAAAGTAACTCTTAATCAAAGGTCAAATTCCCTCCGTGTTTCACATGAATATACAGTGGAACCTCACTATCTGGACACCCATTTATAAGGGACAGTTTATTTGTCCAGATGAAAAGCTGAAATATTAATTTCTCTAAAATCAACCCGCTTAATAATGACACTGGCTAATACTGACAACAGACACTTTCCTTTTTCCGAAGTCATCAACTGTCATATATCCTCAAACCCAATTTACAGACACTGCTTTTCTGTGAACTATAATATTGCAGACATTGTATCCTCAAGCTGTTCAAATAATGACAGACTTCTGCAGGTTTAAAATTATGATTTTATTACTGAAACAAAACAGTAGCATAGTAGCATGAGGTTTTTTATTCTAATCAGTCAGTCTTTATCCTGGTGTTTGGCTCATGTATCATAGTCCTTACCCAAGTCTCATTTCCTTGGCTTTTGTTTCAGTCTTTGCTTCATTTTGTCTCTGTATCAAAAAAACAGGTGTGTGTAACACACATGGGCCCACAAGGATACCATGGCATGTCTGGCTGTCCATATTAATTGGGTTCCACTGTACAAGGGAATGTAGTTTATTAGAGGCCACTTGGGGCTTTCCTTTCCAAACACCCCCCAATTTCTCTTCTTTAAGCTTAAGGAGAAGTTAATCTGTCTTCTGAAGGGTACATCGTCTCCACACCATCTACTTTCCTTAGTTTCCCTTTAGACTGGTCAAACCTGTATTAAATTGTCAGTAGGCCATTTGCTAAGGGTGGCCTTATAATATAACAGACTTCTAGTAATAACAGGCACCCAGAAAAGACCTACTGTGGAGGCCACACAAAGGGATGCTTGCCCTCCCTCAAAATCTGAAACATGCTGCAGAAACTGAAACCCATGGAAAAGAGCAATTGTCATTTGTTCATACAACATACATTGTTGATGAGGCAGCTCTCTTTGCCTTACCTCATGCTAGCAATGGCCCTAAACCCGGCCTAATATGGCTGTCGTGCATCTTCAACTTTCATTGTTAATTTTCTCAGCCCAGAGTTTGTTCCTCATCGCTACCCATGGGTTGACATCTGCTCTTAGAACAGAAGGAAGTTTTAAGGAGAGGGTTCCTCCCAAGTGTCTCACTGTCACACACAAGTGACCTGCACACTTGACCATCCACTCTGTAGAGATCATGAGAGAAGCTAAACCATGCTCGCTGGTCACATTTTCCAAACAGTCCTCAACTATGCTAACAACATCTCCATTCTTCATTTTTAGTTGCAACCTCCGTTCTTCCCGTGGTTCAGGAGAGAGGGACACTTGGACATGTTCAATATTTGAAACCAGAATATCTTCATATAAACCTTTACCAAAAATTCTTAGATATGCTCCTTGTAAACTGGAATACTGGAGTTGGCAACAGAACCCAAATGTTGAGAAGACTGAAAAGGAAGGCTTTTGAACAAACCCAAATTTCCATGGTCCATGCTGTATACTGTCTAACTCGCCAGAACGAACTGAATTAACAGAGGGAAGGGAATTCAGTTCGTTTTCCAAAGTATCAACCTCATTGCGAGGTATTATAGTATCCAGCAACATAAGTGGTGGTCTCGAGTTTCCATCGTCTCCTAAGGACAGTACTATAACCCTCTCATTCTTCTCGTCTTCAAAATACTGCCCTGTTCCAACAAATAAATTAGTACCTCCCGCATGAACCTCGTTCCTCGTGGTCTCGTTCAATTTTGCAGTCAACGATTGTTTGACTCTTACTATGGCATCTGAAATGGAACGCGTGAATATTGGGCTCAGTATCTTTTCTCTTGGATGAAGGTGGGAAATATTCCGAATAAACAGGCACTTGCGCAAATAATGCCGAGATATAAGCCTAAAAATCACCATTTTCTTATACATGTCTTGCCGCCATGATGAAAATCAACCCGCAAGGATTTATGGGTTGTTTCAAGCAATGAGTCCGCTGACCCGTTTTGAGTCTGGTCAGTTGTGATTGAAATAACTTGAAAGTAGATTACTGAGTAGCTCGGAATAGAATGGAAACTTGGTGGACGTGAAAGTTTTCTGAGAAGTGCAGTCATCAGAATGAGTAGAGCGTTAAGCAAATATCGTGGAACTCTTGTTGGAGCATTGGTCGGAGATTGCCTTGGTTCTAAGTACGAAGGCGTGTCGGGTATCATTCCTTGGGGAGAGGTCACCGACTACACTATGACAAGAATCAAAGACAACAAAGAGAGTATTCCTTATACGGACGATTCAGCGATGACTCGAGCTATTTGCAAGTCTCTTACAGAACAACAGAAATACGATAACCGCAATATGGCCAAGGCATTTGTGGAGGAGTTCTTTAGAGATCCCGACCGTGGATACGGGAGTGCTGTGGGGAGAGTGTTCGAGCGTTTACGGGACGAGGATCCCGAGGATGTAACCTCTCCTGCCCGCAGCCAGTTTGATGGACAGGGCTCGTATGGTAATGGTGCAGCTATGAGGATTTCACCTCTTGCACTTTTTAGTCGAACTTCTAAGGAACTTCAAGAGGTAAGATGTAAGATGACTGGCTGATTATAAACAATTATTTACACGTTACAATAACAAGAGCGTTAACAACGGTGGTTGGGGATCCGGGGGGGCACTCCCCTATGAAAGTGATGAGGGCTTGTCGGAAAATTTCGAGAACACCCGTAAAAGGTAGAAGAATCTTGTGTTATGGGCATGTCCCTAATAAATTTCCACCCCTGAGAGGTACCAATTCAACAATAACAAATTATATAACTGGCACTGCGAATTTATATAGTAATGTTCAAACAGTTTCTTCTCAAGGATTTTTTGAAAGTATTGTCATAAATCTTACTGAGACAACTCTGGCAGCAATGATTTTAGGTTTCGGCACCCTAAGCGGCACCAACCCACAAATTTAAACCTCTGAAAGGTATGACGAGCACCCACGTCACTTTTATAGGGGAGTGCCCCCTCCCCCCTGCATTGGGGATTATCTAAAGTTGTCAGACCACACCTTGGATGTGTCCTCCTCTTCGATCCTCGCAAGGGAGGAGGACAAGTTCAAGAGAAGAGTTAGGGAGGCCATCGAAATATTTTGTCAGGATCCAACTTTGAACAGAGTCTACTCTGGTCCAAGCTCTCCCCGATCTATTGAGACCTTTTGTTATGTGATTCACAGTGTAAATCAGGTGACAAAACACCCAAATCCATCACTTGAAAAAGGTTCTGCGATGGAATTGAATGCCTGTGTGTAAAAAGTTTTTCCTATCTTGTAAATCGAATTGTTGCTTAATGTTGTTTATTATTTATGAGGTTTTTGTGAAATCAGAAATAACCAAGGTTGTGGCAAGTGTTATCAGCCTCAGCTGAAAACACTTACCAAGACCTTGATTATTCTGGATATTACAAAAAACAAATCTAAACAGGGCTCTGCTCTAGCAGAGCCCTGTAGCCTCTGGCACCTAACTTTTGCCCTTGGGCAACTAGAACATCTTAACTTTTTCATACAAATCATAATCTGGGCACCCTAGATTTTACAGGTTCAGAGCACCGGGCTTCCTTCAATTTTCCTTAAAGCAAATCCTTGCTAAAAATTGTTTTGTTATACCTTGTTTTGAAGAAAGTAGCGACAAACACACTGTTGCATGGAACACAGTTTGACATTACTCTTGAAAGTCATGTTTTGCCAGTGTAGATCTAATCTGTAGGTTGTACTGATTTCCAAAATTATAATGTGGGCTCTGAGCCAATGAGAAGACAGATTATGAGTAGCATGTCATAATTTGCATTGAAGGACAGAATGTAACGGCAGATTCTTAAGGGTCTGGTAAGGAAAAATTAAAGGACCACAATCTTTGAACGAACTTTGGTGATTGTCTGGGAGATTTCATTCTCTTTTTAAATATGGAGACTGGGAGATAACGGTCCAAAATCTGGAGTCTCCCCGGTCCGGGAGAGTTGACATCACTGAATGTTGAGGGTTCATGGAGCCAAGCAGCAATCAGGCATGGCCAAGGGAGGTATCCATAGCAACTCAGGCAGTGTGGCCAAGTGGTTAGCATGTTGCACTCGCAATCCGGCGGTCCCGGGTTCAAGTCCCACTCTGGCCACTGAATTTGTTCTCAGTCTTCCCGAGTTCAAATCCTTGGCCAGGCTTGTAAATAGTCAACTAGCTGCTTCCTGCCAGTTGGGGTTTTAAATCCTGTTATGTTGTATTTGAATTATTTGTTTTCTAAGTATTCACTGATTGTAAAGTGCTTTGGATCACTAAGAGAAAGGTGCTATATTTAACAATCATTCGCCGAAGGCGAAGTTAATATTGTTGAATACTCCCCAAGAGAAAGTTGAGGGGATTAGTCACCCCTCCTCCTCCAAACAAAATATCAACTGAGCGAGGACGGGTTTTCTTGAAGAAATTGTTTTAGTATAATCATGCAAAATAAACAAAGTGATTTCAACAGAATCAGAAAGGAAGGCAAAAATTTATTAAAAAACGTAATCACACAAAGTGATCTTTGATTGATTAGTTTGATTGACAGGCGAATTCATGTGTGAACATGAAGCCGTAAACAGTGGATGCGCAAAAGTTAGATCTTTACAGTATCTTCAAACATGGCAATGATAGTTTTAATCTTTTTGTGTCAAGTTTTGTAAGCTTTAGCATCAACGGTTTAAAAGAAAACGCCGAAAATTTAAATTACTACCCAATTCTGAGAAGAAAAGTATAGCTTTATTTGTTTCTGTCAACTCACCGTGAATGAGAAAGTTTTCTTTGTCGCTTCTTGCAAATCCTGTCAACAGCGGCTATGATCAAGGTGAGTGTTGTTTATCTCCAGTGTTCTTTGCCTTGTTGACTTGCTGGCACGTACAATTTTCAAAAATATTTGCCTTCCTCTTTTCTCCATAAATTAACTTCTATTTATAGGCAAAATTGGTCTTGCAAGAAAATCCCGAAATCACAAAACAGTGACAAAGCGACCTCGTTTTCCTCTGTAGTGGTAAGCATAGCTTCAAGCGTACAAAAAGTCAGCTACAGTAAACCACTTCACAATAAATCACGCTGTTTGAACACCATGAAGTCTTTTCTTGCCTTCAAAGTCATCAGCACTTGGATATTCGTGTATTTTCAAAAAGGCTTTACTATGAAACTTTGGCAAAACACCCAGTTCACGACAGCGATATTGTTCTAATTTTTTTCTCCACCTAGCGTGGTGAATATAACGTCATAGTCCGAGATAGCTCACCAATCAGATTGCTTGAATTACCAAGATCACTTAGTGTGTATATACTAAAAGTGTATATTATATTATTATTATTATTATTATAATCATAACTATAACAAAATTGTCAAATCTGATTGGCTATCAACTGCCCTGATTTCTGCCTTAATTGGACAGTTTAATAGGACAGTACGCGTCATGCCTAAGTAATTGGACAGTACGCGCCATCATGTGCGCGCTTAAATGGCTTTTTTTTCCACTGCTAGCAAAACAAAATTTCGGATTTCTTGTGTTTTGATTTAAAAAATTACCTATTATGTCACAAATTTTGTTAAAGTTATGATTAATTGGTAACAGAACTTCGTGTCATCCAATTCGGTCTGTAATCATACTCATGATTAAATAAATCGGACTCCCGCTACGCGGTCGTCCGATTTTGTTAATCACTCGTATGATTACAGATCGAATTGGACTCCACTCAGTCCTGTTACCATTACTTATTATTATTATTATTATTATTATTATTATTATTATTATTATTATTATTATTATTATTATTATTATTATTATTAACTCAACAAGCACCCAACACCAAAGGCACAGCCACAAAGAACCAATCAGTGTGGAAAATTTACCAAACCTGTTACTTACCAAAGGGAGGGTGGAGAGAGAGAAAAAAGCTTGGAGATGTAGCAAGCTAAATGACCTTACTCTTAGGCCAGCAAGCAAGCAAAAGCAAATGCAAACCACAAGGAGCCTCACTGCAGAGTGGTCAAAGGTCATGTTTGAGCCATGTAGAGGGGTGATTGCTGACTGACATTGTCTTGAGTGTAACCTTTTACTATAAGTAATGCGTTTTTTTAAAGTTGTTATTCAAGCACATAATAATTCAATTCTTTTCTTTAGTGTTCTGAATTAGTAATTAATACATATACATGGTATCTGAATGTTTTAGTAGGCAGATTAATACCAGTGACATTATACATCTTTTTGGTACACTGCATATCTATAATAATTAATTAAAATTTAAAATTTAAAATTACAAACAATTTTTTAGGAACTTATTTACAAATATAAAAGATAAAATGACTCTACCAGTGACATTAATGTGACCAGATCTTTGTGGGTGTATTACTAGCCCTCCAATGTATCTACAGGTATCTCAGGAGGGGTTCTCTGATCATATGATAGTGACAGAGATGGTGAGAGAGGGACCATAATTTGTGGATTGAAAAATTTTGAATCTGAGACCTTTCTTTGAGGTAGAAATTATTTGAGTGAAAGAATTAATTTTAGGCGAATGCTATGAATGCAAACTCTGTGTGAACTTTTCTCATTGTTCTGTCTTTGTAGTGGGGTTGGGGTGGGGGTTGTGATAAGGTGATACATGGTCTGGTTTGAAATTGATAGGCCTTTTGTGAGCTTAGTCATCCCTGCTTGACACCACGGTGTGCCTACTCAGAGTGTTCTAAAATTTAGAAGAAGTCTGTGGAGATAGGTATGGATTGGAATTTTTGTGGCTAAAATATGGTGGTCAACATATAGTTTTTACTCGATTAAGCTAAAAAATGTTTCCTTACCTTTATTGCTGTATACTGCTTTCTCTTGCTTGGAAATAGTGATGTTTAGTAAGTTGAAGGATTCTGCGCTTAGTCCAACAAAAAACCCTGGTCAGTTCTCAAACTTGCTGCTTTTAGAAGCAAGAAAAACAGTCCACAACATTTCAGGAGATCAGATTGTCTTTACTTTTCTGCTTACAAGTGAATATTTATCAGAGCAATTGCAACCTGATGATATTCCCATACATTTTTCAATGTAGATTTTTTAATGCATTTTTTAAAGAACATAATTATGGTGACACAGTTTGTGTGGTTTTCTTTTGGTACTGGGGAGACAGAGGTGTGAAGAAGCTCCCTTAAGTCCTTTTCAGTTAACCACGCCCTATTAAGCTCAAACTCCTGGGGCTTTCAAAAGAGCAAACAAAGGGGAGGGGAACATGCTAAATGTATCCCAATCTAATGTCAAATTCTCCCTTTGATTCACAAGCTTAGTAAGGCAAATTGAAGGGGGAATTCCACAGTTAATCAGAAATCACTCTGTGCTTAGTTGGCGGCCGTCCTCAAACAATCAACTAGTTTATAAGGGTGCTCCACGCTGTCACTAGTACATGTATGTGTCAATAACTTAATGGTAATAATAACTTATGCATTGGATGAGGTAATTTATTTCTGGAAGAATCAACCTCAGCCTCTGTTGTTGTCCTAGACTGATAACACTTACCACAACATTGATTGTCCTGTATATGACAAAAACCAAATTTAAAGATTGCTCAATCATACATTGTTTTGAGCTAACAACAAATTACACACTGTTGCACGGAACAAAGTTTGAACTTGCTCTTGGAAATCACATAACATGCGTCCTACCTACAGATTAGTTGGTATTATCTACTAGCAGATAAGTAACTTATTTGAAGGTTGTGCTTATTTCCAAAATTAACTGTACCCTCTTAGCCAATGAGAAGGCGGATAGTGAGTACAATGTAAAGTAATATTTATTGTATTGATCAAGCTTAAATACTAATTTTTCTTTTTTGCAACTACAGATTGCCAGGAAAAATGCCCTTATTACACATGCTCACATTAATGGTATAAATGGTGCTATAATGCAAGCAATGGCAGTGCATACAGCACTGTGTATTGAACCTCCAAATCTTGAACCCAGCAGCTTTATTGATCAGCTCACTGAAGTGGCAGAAAAACTAGAACAGTCAGCTACTGAAGAAAGGTAAGGATCTGTTTCCAAACAACAACAACAACAAACGTTGTTAATAAACAGATAATATTACAGAAGCATTGCCCGCAGCTAGCAAAGCTTTTTTGGGTGGGACAGTGCGTACAAAGTACGAAATTAAGACTGATGCTAATGAAGGAAAGTTTACAGTTTACAAATAAATGAAATAAAAATCGTAATATGGATGAGGACTAGATAACACAATAAAAAAGAAAGAATTAAACAAACAAATTCTAAAAGTAGCAACTAATAATCAAGAATTTATTTTTCAACACTTTTGGCTAATTTTACCTTAATTTGTAATTAAGGTGGGCGTATCAATACAGTCATCGTCTGAATTCAAAATACCAAAAAGTAATTGGCGAAGAGTTTTTTAAAATTTATTCTTGGGGAAATGTCGGAAGTGACAGGGTATCTTATTCCACAGCTTAGCCCAAAGCTAGTATTACATGTACCCCACTAAAACCAAGAGGAAACACCATTTAGGCTCTCAACTACTACTGGGGGCTCTTCCACTTTAAAGGATTGTATGTCACACTAACTTTTTAGAAAGCTAAAACGTTTTTCGTATCAATTGAATTCCAAAAATAATGGTCCAGTGTTGTTATTTAAGACCATAGTTAGGCACTGAAACTGTTTCCTGTCATCTGTTTTAATGGATGGAAGTGGATTGAAACTTGGAAAAAAGTTGGGCCAACCTTTTTTAGTTTCAATCGTAGAGACTACAAGCAGTCTCTCTTTTTTCTTAGCCCGTCGAGCGAAACGCGCGAGACACGAAAATGACCACGCGTGTGACTGAAGGCACGAGTATTTTCTTCTCGGGCTGCCTCCCTCGCTTCTAGCACCGTTCGATGCTCGCGCGCGCATGCAGTCCCCTTCCCCTAAATCTGAAGAAAAAGAGCCAGACTGCTTGAAGTCTACCATGTTATGCCTGCAAAGATCGCCAAATCAATTATTATGGTTAGTGGCCCCCTGATGAAATTTGTCTGATATCACCTTTGTAGCTCCAGACCACAGGAGCATTTTGTCCATAGGAAAAGGCACTCCAGTAATGACATCAGTACAAAAGTGTCCTAAAACATCAACATTTGTGACATAGCTCCTTTAAAGATGATTGGCTGAAGTTCCCCTTCAACAATTTTGAAAACACCCTCCAAGTCTATTCAATCTCTCAGAGATACCAGTGATTGGTACCTCTTAAAAAGTTATTTTTTAGCGCCCAGGTAAGTGTGATACCAATCCAGAATTTTACCCCCCCCCCCATAAGGTACAACGATTGTTGCTGCTGGGTTGAATCTAATTTGAAATAATTGTTATTTTTTGTTAAGCCTGTCGACTTTCAATGATTCAAATCATTATTTCTTTTGCTAGTGACCGAAAAGTTAGTTCTTCAACAACCACTTTCTCATATGTCAAGAAAATCAAAGAAATGAAAGAATTGCTCGGTAAAGGCGAAGCACTGGAACCAGAGACTGTGGTACATACGTTCGGTAATGGAATAAAAGCACAGGAAGCCGTTCCCGCCGCAATATTTGCATTCCTTCACAAAGGCAAAGTATCATTCGAGGAATCCATAAACTATGCTATATCCTTAGGGGGCGATACAGACACAATCGCCAGCATGACAGGGGCGATCAGTGGGGCATACTGGGGACTGGAGACGATTCCTTCATTGTGGCAAGAAAAATGTGAGGCTGTAGATGAAGCTATTGTGTACGCAGACAAAATCTACGAACTGCAACAAGCAAGAAATGAAACTAATACTAAGGAAATGTGATGAGGAAGAAATGCTTTTTCAACGCTGTGCTACACTACCCTTCAGTATAGCACTGGCCCTGTGAAAGAATAGCCGTACTAGTACTAGTTGCACCATTTTATTTAGCTAGATCCAGCTATCCACTTCAGTCAGCAAGGATTTCTTGATTAGATTAGTACCATTGATGGTGAATGCGCAATATGCGTACCTTCGGAGGAAAACCTCATATCGCCTGATCCTTGAGTTATGACCGGGGGTAGTCCCAAACATAATTTATTTCAGAAGCATATAAGCTATATACGTCAGTGTGCTGCACCAAATGGAGCGGTTTTTAGCCCTTTTGGTTAAGGAGTAAGGAATTAAAAGTATCAAGAAACGAAACAGTTGCCTCTGCTGACTGTTCTTGCTATGTTTTTTAGGCAGTAGTTCGGCTATTTCTTTTTTGTAAAACGTGCGAAATTTTCCGCTATTTTCTCCTTCACTACCAATACAGCTGTATGAAACTACCAATACAGCTGTATGAACGAAACTTTTTCTCCGGGGCTTCTCGGTTGCCTTGTCTATTTCTTTTGTTACCCTGCACCTTTGATGTCATTATAGAGAGCTTAAGCAACAACTACGGCGACGGCTACGAAAACGTCAGTTAAAAAGTGAATTCGCGCTGCCTCATAAATATCGGATATCGCAAACTTCTCCCAGATTTGGTGAACGCTAGCTGGTTATAAATGAATAGTCTGGGGAATTGAGCTAATCAGAAACGGAAAATATTTTGAATGAATAATTATTGCTCTTTCTAGTTAGATGAATGCATCTGCTGTTGAGAGCAGCCGAGTCTTTCTTTACGGAGATATCTTCGTGATATCTTCGTGTTTCAGAGTTTCTTGACTTTGTTTTGAACGTGACTAAGAGAACTTGTCTACTTTAGTTAAGCGTTTGCGAGTGCCTGATAGGCATGTGACGGGGATGATCGAATGATTTTTTCGGGTTTGTTAGAAAATAAGGTACCATCAGGTCATTTGTGCGGTCAGTAAAACCCAAGGCAAATGTCAGTTTTCAGTTAAATTTTAGGCTATTTGCCAGTTGTCATTTTTCCCCATCCAGGCCCTCTTGACACGGACGGAACAGCCGGGGCAGGAACCCATAGACTCCTGCTCTGATCCATTGCATTTGTCAGACCATAGCCCTATTACTACTAGGCTGAATATTAACAAAAAGACGAGTTACAATCACACCATACTTGGAGGAGATACTTGAACACGTTTACCGAAATATTTTCTGTGGGAAAACGACTCCGCTCAAAAATTCAAGGATGCTCTGAGGTCTCCTCGTATACAAACACTAATACGCGATTATATTACTGGCGACACATTCAATGAAAATACTGAGCTATCCCTCGAAAAGGTGGAAAACATTTTAATCACAACGGCTAAGTGTTGTTTAAAGATATGAGCAGGTAAAACGCGTAAGCGTATCAAATCATTATCAAACAAAAAATGGTTCGATAAAGAATGTCGTTTGAAAAGGCATGAATTACGAAAAGTAGCAAACAGTAAACATCAAGACCCTTTGAATACTATCATACGTGAGCAATACCATGATACTCTGGCCTAATACAAGAAATTACTTAATTCTAAAAAGAATGATTATTACAATGCCAAGATTTCCGAGCTAGCAAAAACTGCGGACAATTCAGACGCGAATACTCTCTGGCAATGCCCCAAATCGATGGACGACACTAGAAAAAGAGAGGATGTTCCATCAATCTCGGAAGAAAATTGGCTATAATATTTCCACAATCTTCATTCAAATGAACCTCTTAACCCATTAACGCAGCAAAACATTTGACAATGAGCTACGACAAAATGAATGCCATGGTCAACACTCTCGTCCTTTAGATTTTATGATAACTGAAAGAGAAATACGTAAAGTTGCGGAATAGTTAAAGAATTAAATAAATCACCATTTTCGGATAAAATTAGAAATGAAATGATAAAAGCTAGTATTGATACACTGATGCCCGTATATGAAAAATTATTTAATTCAATTCTTAACCACCAAGGGACCATGCCACAGTGTGGTGGTCAGTTATTACTCCCATTTATAAATCGGCCGGACGAAGCGATCCGGCAAACTACCGGGGTGTCTGTGTCTCCAGCTGCCCGGGAAAACTATTTTGTTCTATCTTAAACCAACGACTTCTCGAGTTTATCGTTTGTTTGAATATACTCCACACTCACTCTCCGAACCTTGATAGATAAGTACGTTCATAATCACAACGAAAAGATCTATGCTTGTTTTGTAGATTTCAAAAAAGATTTTGACTCGGTCTGGCATGACGGGCTCTTGAATAAGCTGCTGCAAACTGATGTTGGTGGTTCTTTTAATAACTTAATTAAAAGCTTATATCACAACTCTTCCTGCTCAATTAAAATTGCCCAAAAACAAACGCGATCATTCCGTTATGCGAGAGGTGTGCGGCAAGGCTGTACCTTAAGTCCACTGCTTTTTAATCTTTATATTAACGACCTACCTTTCGCATTTGAAAATACACTATCTGATCCTTTTGTTTTGCCAAACGGTGCAAAACTAAATTTTCAATTATATGCAGACGATTTAATCATTTTATCACGATCCAAAACAGGACTACAAAATTGTCTCGATAAACTATCTTCATCATGTTCTGTACTTGATGGATGATGAAAATCAATCCCAAGAAAACAAAAATTATGGTTTTTCAGAAACGTGCGAGAAAAAAATGCCGATTTTCACTTTCTCATAGATAGTCAAATAATTGATGCTGTACAAGAGTACGCTTACTTAGGAACTCGAATGTCCTCATCGGGAAATTTTTCAGTGTCACGTGAACATCTCAGGGAGAACGCATGCCCTCTTCAGTCTGAGACCACACACGAATCTTAGCTAAAAGCAGCTCTCGCCTGTAAAATATTTGATACTATGATCTCCCCTATTCTGACATATTACAGTGAAATCTGGGGTGTGTATGCTAAACCAGATTTTAAGACTTGGGACGGCTCACAAATCGAGAAGGCACACCTTCAGTTTTGTAAACGATACTTGGAGGTAAACAACAAAGCTTCTAATATAGCTTGTAGAGAGCAGAGCTTGGTCGTTTTCCTTTAAATATCACAATCAATCAAAACATTCTCAAATACATTTTGTATATACAGTCTAACGATGAGGAATCTCTCGTCAAACAAGCTTTTTTAATGTCATTCGACTTACACTGTAATGGCAAAAATAGCTTCCACTCTCATTTAATGAATATTATATATGTCAGAATAATTTAAGCTTCCTGACTTTAACCCTGATTTATTAGATGTAGCCATGGTAAAAAGCTATGTAAGTTCAATGAAACAGGAATATATCTCATATCAGCAAAACACCGTTCAACATTCTCAAAAACATGAATTTTATAGATCTTTTAAAACCGATCATACCTCCTCTAGTTACTTAGACTTAACATGCAAGCTAATGATAGAAATAGGCAGATACAATCAAACTACGAAGGATAATAGGCATTGCCCTTTTTGTGGATGCAATGTAATAGAAGACGAAGTTCACTTTCTTTTTCAATGTCCTACATACTCTATGATTTATTTAGGAACAAATTTTACTATAAAGTCAAGACTCTGATTCCAAATATTACCCAGTTACCTATAAACGTTTTGATCAATGAACTGATGAACTCTTCTAATTACTTTATCAATATACATAAAATATATTTCAGCTTGTTTTGATGTTCGTGACAAATTATTATCAAAGTAACGTAATTGCCCTGTGTTGTAATTTTGATTCTTAAACTTACCTTTTGCAATACTGTATGTGTTTGTATGGTCATGCAAATAAAGCTCGTTGTTGTTGCTCTGAGCTACTCCCTGCCGCACACCCAGTTACCCCTCCATGAAGCAGAGAGAGCTGTTCACGCGCAGGCCCGGGAGAACAGCTCTTATTGTCCTACCTCTAACCTCTTTAGGGAGTCCACCTTAGCCGTGATAAAGACGTGAGGCTGCCGAATTTCTCTCTCTGATGGTTGGTTGGAAATGTTGGACTGCCGTCAGCAAACTGAAACGTTCGGGGGGTGGAGGAGAACGGAAGACTTGAGAAATGGAGGGCCACTTGAAATGCTTATAATAGCGAATCTGATACTACCAGGAGCCCATCAAATTTGATGGGCTCCTGGTACTACTGCATCAGTTTGCGAATTTAATGTTTAGTGTGAATTCATGTGCATTTTAAGCAGTAAATTTGGCATCAAAAATATACAAATACACTGGAAATGCGTGTGTCACAGAACCTCACGAACCTAGGCGGGGGGGGGGGGAGGTGACGCCCATAAAATGTCAGGGATGGAAGGGGGAAAGAATTGGAGTAAATTGTGTAGCTTGGGAGGGCGAGTTTCAACACTGGCTTTCCGAGCGAAAAGAGTTTATAATCTCGTCACGCGGGAATCTATTATAGAGAGATCTAGAGCAAACCGGTTCCATTAAATGGCCATAAATCAGCTCGGAAACCACACAGGAAAGAAGAAACATACGTTTTAAGCAAGGTTAGCCGATTTTTTTAAAATCCTTTTACATTCGTAGGCTACAGAAACAATTGTTTTTCTCTCATACAAATCCTTATATTTTGAACGTTGTGCCACCTGTGGTATAAGTCAGGGAAAATTTAACTCTTTCAAAGAAGTAAGAGGGAGGTAACATATTCCTGCATGTTCCCCGAAGTTAAACGTGTTTCACTGGCAGAATATTGTTTCAAGAAATTAAACGACAAGCAGATATGGGTTTCCTATAAGATCAATCCATTCTGCACTTTACATTCACGATAAATTCATGTAATAAATGGGTGGAGAGGATGGGAGTTTGGGCATTTATTTAAAATTGTCTAGCGGACACAGATTACGGAAAGCAAAAGAACAAAAACCATGAAGATTTCCCCTGAACAGAAAACAAAGTGGTCTTTTGTTTTACGTCATGTTTGTCCAGTACACGAAGTTTTTACTGGAATTTGGACTCCATAAATATCTGGACAACTTGTGAATTCATTTGGTTAGGGAAAGTGTACATTTGACTGTCAGTTTGGGAATTTCAAAAACTATGCCTCTGGCAACCATGCCTCAACAACCTCATGCATGTTGAGAATTGAGAAACTGATCACCTTCAACATGACTTGTAACAGTTGTTAACTAATGCATCGGTTTGATAATCAGTTAAACTGCC